TAGAGTTTAGGGGTTAAGGGTTTAGATAGTTTACACACTGAGGAACCCCACAAGTGTAGGTCTGCTCGGTTACTGTGCAGGTAGGGCTTGGGCCATGCACAGCGTTTGAACGAGGTCTAGGAGGATGTTGTTCAACTTTACACATTGGCAAGGCTGCATGAGTGTTTATTTTTTTAAGTTGTTCTGTGTTCAGGGTCTTGGGGCTTAGTCCCTCGGTCAGATGGTTGAGGATTGCTTTTCAACACCGGAATTTTGAGTTTCCCCGTTTCTCAAATCTCCAGGCTGCACTTTCAGATGCCTCGCATACGGAAGGCGACGCTCTCGCTCTAAACCCTAAATCTCAAACCATAAACCTCGAAGCTCTCTTGGGTCAGTATATGTAACTGAGCTCCCAACCCGAAACCCTAAAGCTTGTTGTAGCTCAGGCACTGTCTCGGCCCCCACCAGAAGTTCAGCAGCGCTACACCCCGAACCCCAAGCCCTTCTCTCCCTAAACCCTACTTGCAAGTACCACAAAATCCCTGGATGTAGGTTCTTATGGTAAGCTCCAATTTTGGAATCGATAGAGATCCTACAAACAAGCAGATTTTCGTAGTTTCTCCACAGATGCCTCAGAGGCAGCAGCTGGCGACTGAGAAGGCCTTGCAGCATGTCGCGTTTGTGATTTAGGGTCCTGGGGTTTAGGGTTTAGGTTTCGAGGGTTTAGGGGTTCTAGGGTTTAGGCTCCTAATTAGGGCCTAGGGTTTAGACTTCTAGGGTTTGGCAGGGCTTTGGGGGCTTGGGTTTAGAGGCTTTGTAGGGCTTATTGAAGCTTATCTCTTCTTGTTCTGGTCCCCGCGCGGCCGCTGCTTTCCTGCAAGGCTCCGAGTGGGTTTAGGGTTCAACTCCAGATTCCCCTTAAACCCAAAAACCTTAGGGTTTAGGGTTTAGGGTTTATGACACAAAAAAACCCTAGACCCTAAACCCTAAACTTTTTGATACTTCTTTGCCGATTCCTGGTGTAGCGTTCTGGCATGTCCCAGTAGCAATCTCGGAGGTCGTGCGCCATGCCTGCTTTGCGAGTGTGTGAGTCGAAACCCTAAACTCTCATAACCCGCAGCTCCCAGCGCACTGGCCTTTGAAGCTGACGAAACCTTGAGCGCGTGAGCAGAAACCCATGGCACTCTACACCCTAGTATAGAGGCCTCAATAATCCCTTGTATTATTCCCTAGGGTTTCTGATCATAGTTAGGTATACAAAGGAGCCCCAGTATTACTCCTGAGGGTTTCTGATCATAGTTAACTATACTATAAAGGAGCCCCAAAGCCCTCTTCCAATGATTAAGGCCCCCTACATAAAGCGATCCGAAGCCCTCTAAACCTGACGTCCTCATGTAGGAACCTGATTAAGAAGCCCTAGTCCTATAGTCCCGAAGTCGTAGGATCAATATAAAGAGCCCTAAGAAAGGATTCAACATTTCTCAATAATCTTCCGGCGTTATATCTGCGAAACCTAAATCACCAACCTTCAGGCCTTAATGGTTTGAAGTTTCAAGCAGCGCTGCCGGAGGATACCACCTGGGCACTGGCTATGTCCAACATGGTGGCGGAAAAGGCCAAGACCATGAAGACATTACCACCCTAAACCCTCAACCCTAAAACCCACAAGCACTGAGGACTAAAGGAAATCTGGGCGATTTAGGGTTAGGGTTGAAGCCCTCCACCTCATAAAACCCTAGGTTCGGACTCCGTGGCCCACCCTGGGGTTGATTGCATCCACTTCTCTCGACCGAAAGAGGAGATCACTCCAAGCCCAAAATTCCTCAAAGCCAACTCAAAAACAGATTTTAACTCACCATGACAACAATTCGACATCATACGCCAACTCCAAGGCCTAGGAAGCCCAAAAACCTTAAGGCCTACTATATGAGCCTGGGTGTGTAGCAATACTATCCCCATGGGGACTATTCCTTTTTGGTTCTTTTCTTTGCTTCGTGAGAATACCCGCATACCCTCCCAACACTGCTTCTTGAGTCGGTAAGGGCAGAGACTTGGGTCCTATGGCAGGTTAGGCAAGATGAGCGCAGGAAATCCAGATGCCAAGCCCATGTCCAAAGCTGGACCCGCAACGCCAGGCTTCCAGCCATCAACTGTACCATTCCTTAGTTTGAAGAGCCCAAAGCCTTAACACCCTAAACCCGCAAACTCTTAATTCATCTACACAAACCTCAGCCCTGGAAGCGACCACATGAAAGCCCCGTAACTCCTCAAACCCGCATGCCCCGAAAATCAGAAACTCTGAACCCTGTTAATGCAGAAGAGCTTTTTTGTTACCCCTTCTAGCCTTGTAAACCTTACGTGGAATCCTAGACAACAGCAAACCCCACGAACCCCAACATAAAACTTTAAGTCCTGCCGTAAACTGTCTTTACCCATCTGTACCTTAGACCGAAAAGACCAGCTAAACTCTTAAGGTCTATGCTTTCACGCACCTAAACGTTTCAACACCTTAAGCCCTGTCGGCCACAAAATCGACGAGCGCTGGGGGCCATGATGGCCCGTGCGGCTTGGCGCTTCGCTGCCTTCTTCTCGGTGGCTTCGAGCAGCTCTTCACCGTCTTAGTAAACATAGGGGGGTTTCACAAGCAAGCTCAGTAATAAGCAGTATTGGTAGGAAGTAACGTGTTTACATCATCATCATCATGATCAATAGCACGACTGTATTCTTGTTCTTGTTATTACCATGATGAGCACGATTATCAGTGGTCGTCGTCGTAGTAGTAGCAGTAGCAGGAGCAGTAGCAGAAGTAGCACTAGTAGTAGTAGTAGTAGTAGTAGCAGTAGTAGTAGTAGCAGTAGTAGTAGCAGCAGTAGTAGTGGCAGTAGAATAAGCCGTCTGTAATTATGTAGTATCTTGTACCCCAACAGAGGGGGATTAATGTATTCTGGCTATAATGGAACTATATAGGGTCCCTGAAGCGATTCCTTCAAAGGGTTACTGTAAGTTTTATTCTGCATTGGTAAAGCCCAAAGACTACCACGTTACACTATAGGTGCTAAATACTTATGAATGAAACTTATGCGCTACCGTCCTTGATGCATCTGTCATCTCATGTCATGGTCAGGTTGAAGGTTTTGGTGATTTTGGACTTTTAGGTTGAGTCTGTAAGGTTTCGTGGGTTCGGTTTAGGGTTTTGAGGGTTCGGGGTTTTAGCGTTTAGGGTTTGTAGGGTTTTCAGGGCTTTCAGGGTTTCTAGGGTTTTCGGGGTTTGGGGGTTAGGGTAAAGTTTCAAGATCCTCACCGGACCCTGGGAAAGATGTACTTCACAACACCTGCCTCGCCTGAACACAACAGTTACACCCTAAACCCTAAACCCTATACTGTTTAGGCTTCAGGGTTTAAGGTTTAGGGTTTAGGGTTCAACACCATCAAACCCTGAACCCCAGCCAGGCCTGCAAACGCTGAAACCTGCCATCATCGTGCCAGGAACCTCGCCGCGGGCATGTCCGAGTGTGAGTGCTGAAACCCTGAAACCTGGGGAGTGTTTCAGACAATGAAAGGAGCCTTTTCCATACCCAACAGAGTCAGGTCCTTTCCAGCAGCAGCCCTACAAGGATCCCCCACGGTTCGCCTCTGCAACCTTTTAGGCCCCTGAACCTGTAAAGGACCCTTGTAGTAGCCCTCCAAAACCAAGGGCACCCTTTACGGGACACTATGTGGTTCCCCGTCAAAGCCGCGGCATCCCATTTCTGAAGTCCACTCAGGCGTTTTGGCCGCGGAGACTCTTGTTGCATTCCGCCTCCAGGCCGGGAGCCATGACAAAAAAAGTGGAAACGGCAGTTTAGCAACGAGGCCCGGCCTAGATAAGTAGACTCGGATCCTTCGTAGGGCTTTTCCTACAAAGGCCCATGCAAGCGACCTTGTAAATGTGCGCCCTGCGGCAGATTTGGGGTTTAGGGCGTAGGGGTTTAACTTCTAAAGTTTGGGTCTGTACGCCCTAAACCCGAAACTGTATTTAGGGTCCAGTTGGCTAGGCTGAGGCCCTTCAGCCTACACTAGTATGCACATTCATGCACTCATACATACATATACATATACATACATGCATGCATGCATGCATGCATGCATACATAAAAACATGCAGTATGCATGTATGCATGTATGCATGTACGCATGTATGCATGTATGTATGTATGTATGTATGTATGCATGCATGCATGTTTGCATGTGCGCATGTCTGCAGGTAAGTATGTATGCCTGCCTGTATGCACACATGCATGTATGTTTGTTTGCATGTACGCATTTATGTATGTGTTCTACATGCATGCATGCATGCTTGTGTGCATGTACGCATGCGTGTATGTATGTATGTATGTATGTATGTAGGTAGGTAGGTATGTGAAAATAACACGTCCTCACCTT